TAATAGTTTGTTTGAAAGAGAAAAGAACAGGCTTTGAAGTAAGTGTAAAAGCGTTTAACTAGAAATAGTATTTCGAAAGTTATTAAGCACAAAAGATGAATTGCGTTTATTTTGATACACCCTGTATAGGCCAAATGAGTTTTCATATTCGTTAGAGTTTAAATTTTATTTGTTTTTATATTAGATTGTACATTTATTTTACTGTCAACATTTAGCAAATTGTTCGCTCGGTCTGTTTACATATTTCGTTGCTAAAAAGTATATTTTTTCTTTTTTGTTTCTCATATTCATCAGTCTAATCATCAGAATGGCCCAACCTGTGATAGTCACCCGTATAAATAACAAACTTTATTTATCTTTTACAATCTAAGAGTATAACACAACGTGTTTACAACGTACGTCCATCAAACAATATGGCGACTCTTGGGAATCCTGCTGGTCAACATTTCGTAGGCGCTCACACTCCCCTCCTAAACTCAAACATACATAACAGAAAATTTCGATGTTCCTAATATTAATAAGTGTTCAGTCCAACAGTTCATCGTTTATTTCCATTGCTTCGCTCTGTTCGTATTGTTGTTGATGCCAATCAACCTGAAGACGTTAGTTGGTTGTCGTCCTCTAGTGCTGCGCCTTGGTGGTTGTGGTTCACCTTCCGAATCGCTACTTGACTCATAGTTGTCTGCCTGGTCATCTGACTCTTCAGTTTCCCACGACAGGACTTGTGGTGGGGCTGGCTCCAGCTCGTTAAAATGCCTTTGTTTCACACGTCCGGACGGGTTATTTTCCTCTTGCAGCTTGTAAGTGTTGCCGTGGCGCTCTAATACTATAAATCGTTTACTCTTCAAATCTGCCAGCTTCTTACCGCCTAGTTTGTTCCGTTCTGTAGCTGTGAGACGAGTTCGAACTCCTTCCCCAATCTCGAATGGCCGTTTCATTGCCGTTTTTGTTCTCTTCTTCCGTTCGTCCTGTTCCACAGAAATCTTGCGCTTCACCAGTTGAAAAACATCATCCAACTTCTTGGCATCAGATCGAGCCTGAGCTGCGACTCCACCCTGTTTCACGTCTTCCGGTCTCCATTCTTCATCTGAGCCGGCAGAATCTTCCGGTAAGAAGAATGCTTCCGGTCGTCTCGCTTGTTGTTTGAAAACCAGTTCGTGCGGTGATAT